CTCCTGCTTGTTTCTGAAGTCCATATGAGTGATATGATTTTTCCCAACCTTTCACCTTCAGCCTATGTATGTCTTTTCCTATCAAATGCGTCTCCTGTAGGCAGCATATTGTTGGGTCTTGTTTTGTGGTCCATTCTACTAGCCTGTGTCTCTTAATTGGTGAGTTTAAGCCATTAACATTTAGGGTTATTATTGAGATATGGGTTGTTCTTCCAGCCATATTTGTTTATTTCTGTTACTAAACATGGTTTGTTTTCCTCTTTGATTATTCCCCCCCCCCCTTTACTGTCCTACCTCCCACTGTTGGTTTTCATTGTTATTTTCCATTTCCTCTTCCTGTAATGCTTTGGTGAGGATGTTTTGAAGAGATGGTTTTCTAGCTGCGAATTCTTTAAACTTTTGTTTATCGTGGAAGGTTTTAATTTCATCCTCCATCCTGAAGCTTAATTTCGCTGGATACACAATTCTTGGTTGGAACCCATTTTCTTTCAGTGTTTGAAATATGTTATTCCAGGATCTTCTAGCTTTCAGAGTCTGTGTTGAAAGATCAGCTGTTATCCTGATTGGCTTACCCCTAAATGTGATCTGCTTCCTTTCTCTTGTAGCTTTTAAAATTCTCTCCTTATTCTGTATGTTGGGCATCTTCATTATAATGTGTCTAGGTGTGGATCTCTTATGATTTTGCACATTCGGCGTCCTGTAGGCTTCTAGGATTTGGGATTCTGTCTCATTCTTCAAGTCTGGGAAGTTTTCTCGTATTATTTCATTGAATAGACTGCTCATTCCTTTGGTTTGGAGCTCTGTACCTTCCTGTATCCCAATGACTCTTAAGTTTGGTCTCTTAATGTTATCCCATATTTCTTGGATGTTCTGCTCATGGTTTCTTAACAGTCTTGCTGAGCTGTCTATGTTCTTTTCCAGTTGAAATACTTTGTCTTCATTGTCTGATGTTCTATCTTCTAAGTGTTCTACTCTGCTGGTAGTATTCTCCATTGAGTTTTTAAGTTGGTTTATTGCTTCCTGCATTTCTAGGATTTCTGTTTGTTTGTTTTTTATAACCTCTATCTCCCTGTATAGTTGATCCTTTGCTTCCTGGATTTGTTTGCGTAATTCGTTGTCGAAGTGATCTTTCATTGTCTGATTTTGCTGTTTAATGTCTTCCTTGATACTCCAGATCATCTGAAGCATGTATATCCTGAATTCTTTATCTGACATTCCATCTGCTGCAGCTGTTACCTCTTCTAAAGTTGCGTTGACCTGCATTGCTTGTGGTTCTTTCTTTCCTTGTCTTTTCATACTGCTTGCGTATCTTTCCTGCAGGTGCGGGCGGCGGCTCTGCTCTCTCCTTATTCCAATTGGGGTGTCGTGGCTACCACGCCGGCAGGTCACTGGGCCTGTTCTGGGAGCTGGCGTCGGCTCTGTTCTGCCCCTACTCCAATTGGGGTGACGAGTGTACCACGCCGGCAGGCCACCGGGCCTGATCCGCCGGTCGGTTGCAGGTTTGCCTACCCTGCAGGCGCGGGCGGCGGCTCTACTCTGCCCCTACTCCAAATGGGGTGACGTGTCTGTCGTACCGGCAGGCCACTGGGCCTGTCCCGCTGGTCGGTCGCAGATCTGCCCACCTTTCGGGCACGGGTGGAGGCTCTGCTCTGCCCCTACTCCAATTGGGGTGTCGTGACTACCCCGCCTGCAGGACGCTGGGCCTGTTCCTGGCACGGGCGGCGACTCTGCTCTGCCACTACTCCAATTAGGGTGGTGTTTGTACCACGCCGGCAGGCTCCTGGGCCTGATCCGCCGGTCTGTTGTAGGTCTGCCTACCTTGGAGGCGCGGGCGGCGGATCTGCCCTGCCCCTCCTACCACGCCTGCGGACCCCTGGGCCTGATCTGCAGGTTGATCACTGGTCTGCTCACCCTGCGGGCACGGGTGGCGGTTCCGCTCCGCCCCCACTCCAATTGGGGTCACGTGACCACCACACCGGCAGGGCCTGATCCGGGCATGGGAGAAGGATCTGCTCTGCCCCTACTCCAGTTGGGGTGACGTGTGTACCACACTGGCAGGCCACTGGGCCTGACCCGCTAGGCTGTCACAGGTCTGTTTACCTTGCAAGCGCGAACGGCGGCTCTGCCCTGCCCCTCCTACCACGCCCATGTACCACTGGGTCGCGGGTCTGCCCACCTTGCGGGTGCGGGTGGCGGCTCCGCTCCGCCCCCTCTCCAATTGGGGTCACGCGGTCACCACGCTGGCGAGCTGCTGGGCCTGCTCCGGGCGCTGGCGGCGGCCCGGCTCCTCCCCTCTGACTCGACGACAAATTGAGGAGACTCGGGTGACTGTGCCTCACCCCCCCTACCAGGAGACCAACTGCTTATGTCACCGCTGGTATTGATGAAGTTCCCTCCTCCGCCGCTTTCTGCAGACATCAGATCTCTGCCATGTTGGTATCCTATGCGAATGGCAGCATTTCGTTCCCCTTGCCAGGCAACCAAAGCACCGGGTGAGTCCTGACCGGCCCTCAGCAGGACCCGGACCGAGAAGCAGTTTCCGCGGGCTCCTAGCCCCGGGCCAGGGAAGTTCCGGGAGCCGGAACTCGGCCGCTCCGTGCTCGGTGTAAGCTCCTATAAGTGTAAGCTCCAAGAAGCAGTCCCCGCGGGCTCAGTTCCGGGAGCCGGAATTCGGCTGCTTAGTGCTTGTTGTATGCTCTGATAGGAGCAGGGTCCAAGAAGCAGCCTCCGCAGGCTCAGCAGCCCTGGGCCAGGGCGGTTCCGGGAGCCGGAACTCGGCCGCCCCGCGCTCGGTGTTCACTCCGATAAGATCAGGTTCTAAGAAGCACCCAGGCGCTGAACCCTAGCAATCTGTCTGCAAGCCGCAGGCGAATTGCAGCCTGAAATTACCTGTTCTATGGCTGAATGAGCTGCGGTCAGTCGAAAACAGGGGTGGTGACGTCAGTTTACCAACATGGTGGCTGCTGGCCTCCTCTGTGGTCTGACCGGTGTGGAGAACCGAGATGGACCGCTTCCTTCCCCCGTCTCGAACCCAGAATTCAGCCCTGAGTACGGTGCTTGCGCGGCTGGCAGAAACTGCAGCGCTGTAACCCTGCGTCTCTATCCCAGCGCGCGCTGCAGACTCTAGCTGCGGGGCGATTTGCTGAATAAGCAGTGTTACCCTCCGTGGGACAAACCTCTCGCGTTTGAGTCCCCGTAGCTGATCCTCGTGCGATGGAAATCCTTCCTCCAGGTTCCGGAGCACCCCACTATTGCTGGAAATTCCTAACAAGATATCCTTTAGCCGTCCTGACTTGTCATACTCCCACACAGTGAAGCAGCACACGGGGGCAATGCACTCCCCTCGCCGCCATCTTCCTTCTCTCTCGTGTTCCAAGGATTTAAAATCAGTGTATTGAAGAGATGTCAGGACTCCTGTGTTCACTGCAACATCATTCACAATTGATAAGTTTTGAAATCAACCATAATTATGGATGTGTGTATAAAGAAAATGTGGTATGCATACACAATGGAATACTGTGCAGCCTTTAAAAAGAATAAAATCCTGTCATTCATGGCAACACGAATGAACCTGGAGGACATTTTGTTAAGTGAAATAAGCCAAACACAGAAAGACAATACTGCATGATCTCTTATATATGGATTCTAAGACAATACCAAACTCATAAGAGCCAAGAGGAGAATGGTGGTTACCAGATGCTGGAGGATGAGGGGAATGGGAGATGTTGGTCAACGGACACAAAGTCTCAGGAGAAATAAATTTTTGAGACCTATTGCATGGCATGATGACTATGGTTAATAAATACATATTCCAAAGCTGCTTAGAGGAAATTTCAGATGTTCTTACTGCAATAGCATTTGAGGTGACGGATGTGCTAATGAGCTTGACTTAATCATTCCACATTGGATACCTACATCATAACATCACTTTGTATTTCATAAATTTGTGCATGTAGAAGTTATCAATTTTCAATAAAAAACAACACAAATAAAACAAATAAGATTTATCTGTGGGTCATTTGTGTGAGATGAGGGAAGAAAGGAGCCAAGGATAATTCCACAATCCTTAGGAGCTTGAGGATGGAGGAAAACTTTGGCCTCAGCAGTGCCTCAGGAGACACACAGCTGGAGGCTAAGCCCAGCAGAGGTGTGCTGCAGAGTGGGCCAGGAAAGCCTCCTGCCTCCCTCTATCTGCCAGTTTCTCATGCTTTTTTGGCTTGGTCTGATTCTGACTTTATGACTTTGTGTGTTTTGTTTGTGCTTTTGTTCTCTTCTAGGAATTGTCACTACTTGATCCTGTTCCATAGATCTTGAGACAAGATCCAGGTTTTGCTGCTGAGCTGACCCAAGATGGGGCTCCCTGGTCTCCAGGCCTGGGATGTGGGCCTTTGCCCTGAGCTACATGGGAATCACCCGCAAAGGCACCGCTGAGATCTAGCTGCCAGGGACACAGCTGCAGGGAAGACACCATCCTTTCCTCATTGGAACTGTGGGATGATGTGACCAAGAGTGGCCCCAGCCATTCTGAAGGCACTCAAATTGTCTGTGGTTTAAGCTGGCCAAGGTTCATCCTGGAGCTGGGAGTAGGGTGGGATTCCCGTCCCCCCCCCCCATGTGTAGGGTGGAAGTCAATTTTTTTTTCCCCTGAGGCAGCACATTTTACTGTTGAGGGCCACAGCTTTGTTGGGATGACGCCTGGCATTTTTGGCAGAACGGAGTGGTTGAGAAGTGACGCCAGCAAGCCATTGAGATGATAATGGTTATGTTAAGCTGTGTATATTAGACCCCTGCTGTCCACCTCAGCCTGATTCCTGAAGAGTTCCCATTGGTTGGGGAGGTGCCAGAGGAGGGATTTCCGGTTGGTGGTTCCTGGAGGAGCCCCAGGCTTGTGGGAGAGTTCCCCGGGAGCGTGTGTGGAATGTGCTGGTGGAGTTCAGAAATAAAGTTTGTTCCTGCTTCAGTGGCTCCTGATTTGTGCCCATCCAGACTGTGGCATTTTATAGCACAAGCTTTATAAGGAACAGGGGAACACATTTTTCCATATTGTATTCAGTCCAACAGAGCTCAGACTCTGGGTCTCTCGCTCATACACTTCTGTGGAGACTTCAAGCTTTGCCACTTAGCACATTCTCCAGGGTTCTGGTTACCTGGTCAGCATTGAAGGTGTTCAAAGAGACATTCTTCTCTTGCAAAAATGAGTAGCGGGCCCAGAGCTTGGACTGCAAATCAGAGCATTCCCGGATTAGAATGGGCAGATCGGGATTCGCCTTCTTCAGTTCCACATAGTGTTTCTCAATGAAGTCCCTGACGCCCTGGCTGCAGGGCGAGCACTGGCATAAGTGGATGTGAATCTCATGCAGGCCCAACTTTGCCCCCGCTGCTGCTCAACTGGCTCCGGCCGCTGCCATCTTAGCTAGTACTCAAGCTCCCAGTCTCAGGCCTTCCAGCCAAGTTCTCCAGTCGGACCAATAGCAGACACACAGCCTATGCCATTGATTGGATGATGCAAGGAGACAGGATAAGCTTTAGCCAGTGCTAAAAAAGCATTGTAGACTGCTGGAAGTCAAAATTTGAATGAAAAATTCAACTTTTCTTTCCAAGAGATTAGGGAAATATACAGTGATTGGTCTAATCAGAAAATATCCACCTCATGAGGGGAGAGAGGCAGCATGCTTGTGGGGCAGGTGGAGAGAAAATCAGGCACTCTGGGGCATCTGTGGTCCACGAATAATGAACCTATCCTAGGATAACTTTGGGGAGGTCATGACGTAGATGATCTATTCTGAGCTCATTTAGAGACAGACATCTCTGAGGACTTGTACTTAAGTTGAACCACATCCTTCCTTTAGGCATTGTAAGGAAACCACAATGTATGTGACCAAGTCAGAGCTAGTCCTCCTCCCAAGGAACAGAAACTTCTCAAAAATAATGCTCTTGTTGACCCTTTCCCAAGGATCTTAGAAACCAGTGACTCCTCTCTCAGTACTAGCTTTTGCTTTAGAGCAGGGTTCAGAGATGGGAATTGGGCTGGTCTCACCCAATGCCACATCATGGGTCATGCAATGTGGGAGCTGAAAGAGATCTTGGAGGCTATCCAATCATACTTTGATTATGGGGAGAGAAAAGAGTTCAGATACAAAATTGTACGTACTTTTGAAGACTTATTTAACTTTTCTGTGTATACTATATGGCTATTTGTGCTCACGATTTGCTATTTCTTTTGGGTCCATGTCCGAATGAAGGGAAATTAGACCCTATGGTATATAGTTATCTTTGCATTATCAGTGGGGGATTGGGTCCAGGACCCTCAGAAGATACCAAAGTCCATGGATGCTCAACTCTCTAACATAAAATGGTCTAGTATTTGCATATAACCTGCACACATCCTCCCATACACTGTGAATCACCCCCAGATTACTTATACATAATACAATATACATAGTTGTTATATCACATTGTTTAGGGAATAATGACAAAGGAAAAAGTCTGCACATGTTCAGTAACAAGACCAACCACTATACCTAACTCCATAGTAAGTGATCAAGAGGCAAGGTGAGCCAGACTCAAACAGGAAGCGCTGAACAAGGACTGAGGCACTCTGAAGTGGCAGGAATCTACAGCTGGGGGTGCCTGCACATCTCTTCACTGGTGTAAATTCAGCATAGTGCTTGGCATGCAGCAAATTTGAGTTGTACTTCCTGGAATTTTCTTTCTTTCTTTTTTTTTTTTAATTTTCAAACTGCAGTTGGTTAAATCCACAGATGTGGAACTTGCAGATACAGAAAACCGACTGTTCGTTCTTTGTTCCTGTCAGTCATTCATTAATGAGAAGCGATGCTCATAGACTATCTAATCCAAAGCCAGAATTGTTCTCAACTGAGAAGACAGCAGAGGACAGGACAGACATGGGGCTTGCCATCAGGATCTAGAGGGAAGAGATGGAGAAATCTTCAGTAAATAGTCCACTTATTTAGAAATGAGAAGTATTATGAAGGGTAGTATAAACCAGTGAAAAATGGTAAGCTACTTTAGGGGAAGATGTTGAAAGCTTCAGGAGGTCTTTGTTTTGGACTGGCCTTCAGCCTATGCCCCAGCAGACTAGACTAACCTGAACAGAACCACTTAGGGTAAGTGCCACATAACAAAATTGAACTTCAAAATGGGCCTGTTCTGGTCAACCTAAGTCAGTGTAATAACATTAGGCAGGAATTTGGGATGCCCAAATGGCAGAGGCAGGGTATATGAAGGATTCTACTGGAGACGAGACAGGGAGAAGGGTCCTGTCCCTGTTTCTGATAAGTCCCATTCCCATGCCAACTCCCGCCCCTGAGGACTTATCACCATGACAAGGCCTGCCACAAGTTTGGTATTTTAAAATGACCAATGGGGGTAAATTGGACAGTATTCTAATTAGGTTTTCTAAAGTAACCAATGAGGGGGGCAGAGAATTGAAGATATTCTAATCAGGTTTTATAAGGTAACCAATGGGGGCAAAGGAGGTTAAGGTCTTCAATCAGTTCTGTGTAGGGAAGAGAACGCCTCACAGCTCAGCATGTAAGACACTAATTTCCAGACATTAGAGCCTTGAGCCTCTCTCTCTTGCTCAGCCCACTCTGCTCTGCCTTACAGGGTGTTACTTCAAACTTCACCTTCAATAAATCTGTACTTTGCCTATTACTTCTGTGTGTTTTGCTCAATTCTTTGTTTGGGACAGCAAGGACTTGGACTCCCATTAGATACTGTGATGGTAACAATAAGGGAGTCACCTCTGTTTTAATCCTATGATAAAAGGAACTCTGAAGTGGCCAATCTTCTTTATTTGCTTGCTTCCTTCCGCCCTTTTCTGTCCATAAGACCAGGATCCTCTGCTTGGCTTATTAGAGCTAGAATTAGGTGTGCCCCCAATGTAGAATCACAAATAAAACCTGATAGATCTTTAAATTTGTTGCAATTTAGCTTTTGACAAAGGTCAAGGAAGAGTTCTTAGAAGAGCAGAGTCATTCAAAGAATTAACCCAAGATAATCTGAGAAATTTTCAACAGGGCTTGTTGCCCCTGAAGACCACCCCGGCCTGGACATTTGAGATGATCTCAGAAATACTGTGTCTGATGTCCCTCAAGGTTAAGGGTGCCCTGGGTTGCTGGGCCATTTCGGCAACTTTGCATAACTAATGAAGGGAGACCATAACCAGGCATGGCGTGAGATCTAGGTGAGGGTTTTCCAGGATGCCAAGTTGTCATCAGTGTTAGAGCTCACGATTTCCAGGGACTCCACGGAACACAATTGTGTGTAGTGACCTTGATTGTTCCTTCGATCAAGACAAAGTTTTGCTGTAATGTGATTTTCCCCCTTTAGCTGATCACACGAGTAGTCTGTATAAGGGGCTGGCTTGTCCCAGAGATGGGAGCAGAAAAGGCAGGGTTGAAGAACAGAGTGGATTCTGCTCAGTCTTTCCACATACCAGTTAGGCTCCACACTGGTGGTCTGGAGGGAGGAAGCACTGGGACATCCAAGTTTTGTGAACTCTAGCCCTGTATGTTTCCAAACAGAATCATCATTGCAGAACTTGGACTCCAAAGGCCTTAAGGGGCCCTTAACTACTCTTTGTTCCAGGAAAGTTCACACTATTGACAAAACTTTCAACATAATGAACAACTCGGGAACTGTGGGTGCCATCAGCACCACCCTCTGAACCCCAACCTGGTGACAACATGTATTTAATCACATGCTCTTGGCCCTCCCAGCTTTTCTTCCCCCAACTCTATGCTCCCTGAAAACAGAATCTGTGATTCACTTAAGCTGTCCAGCACCCCTAGAGCAGCTGCCTCCTATGCAGTTGGTGCTCAGTGATTGTTTGTTCTGTGGACCTGGCAGTTCTCAGAGGTGATGTGATCATGAGTCAGAGCTGCTTCAGCTGGGGCCCCCCAGAGAGGCTTGGCTCTGGGTCCTACAGCAGAACGGTCCTGGCTCTGGGAGTTGGGAACCACCTGGAAGCTCCCAGCTAGGGCCGATGAGAATCCAGGATGAGAATCAGAATGAGGCTGGACCGGAAACAGAATGCCCTCAGAGCTCGCATCCCAGCAAGACCTCCCAGGCCTTGGCCTGATCCTGAGTGCGAGGCAGGGATGGGTGTCCCAGGACCTCTCTTCCTACTCAGTGGCAGCCCTCTGAGCACCTCACCATCTCTGCCTGTCCACCCTATAGGACTGTATTCCAGAACTTGTGTTCAAAGTGAAATGCTCCTTTTTAAAAAATTTTTTTTTATTTTTGCCTTTAAATCTAAAGGAAAGTCATTCTAAATCATGAGCGTACTTATTGACCCTTCCCAAATGGAAGGCAAAGTGCCCGTAGTCCACAATTTTAATCTAAATCAATTTCTTTCCTAGCATGAAAAACAAACAAAAATAACTTCTCAGAAGGGTGACTGCCAGAGGGGACTGTGAAGGGCTCTGGGGTCACTTTCGGTGTTCAGTAGTTGATCCTTGGCAAAGGTAAATGGTACACGCTTTGCTGGCCTCTGAGCAGACTGGGCACAGGTGGACCAGGCTCTGACAGAACACTCTCACAAGGCTGAGGGTTAGGGTTCAGGCAAGTGCTTAGTGAGAAGGGTGGGTTTGTGCTGGCGGGGGGTGTGTGACCACGTTTGGCCAGGCCCCGCTGTTTGGGAAGAATTACAGGGCAATTAAAAGACTTTTTGAAAGTTGATAATATTGTCAATTCCTTTGCCATTTCATGTGAGCAGGAGGATTAATTAGTGTTGGCTTTATAGAGTTATATCTAAATGCACACGTCTCGGGTTAGATATTTCTTTTTACTAGATTAGTCAGATTTGTTCCCCGCTGTGAAGGCCACCTCTGGGGAATTCAATTGTGTCTGCCGAGTGCCTCTAGTTTGCTGGAATGTATTATCCGAAGCTGACACTGGACCATTTGCAGAGACACTGGTTCTATACTGACCTCATTAAAAAAAAATGGATAAGAATTTAGAATACAGGGGCAGATGTGGTCACAGAGTTTCTTTTGTTTTTTATCAGTTTCTGCAAATGACTTTTTAAAACAAGCATATTTTCCCAATTGCATTCTTTGTTTTTACACTTTGTAGAAGAGAAGGAGACAGAATTCTCTGCAGTAGGGGCATCTTTTAATGAAGCTCAGAATAGCCCTCCAGAGCTATTATCCAGACCTTTGCGATGTGCAAATCTGAGCCTAAGAGGTTTCCAATTCTCCCTCTCTCAATTAAGCCATAATTAGTAGAATAGTTTTTCTTTGGTGACCTTGGAAATGCAAGATATTACAGAAATAAATGTATTCATGATTCTCTCTTATTGCTTATGGTAATGAAGGTAGTTTGTCTTAATCAGTTCTTAGCACTGGGCCTGGGACAGTCAATGTTTGTTGAATGAATAAAT